GGGCGGAGGGCGGAGGGCGGAGGGCGGAGGGGGGGGCGGAGGGCAGAGGGCGGAGAGAGGGCGGAAAACGGCCCGTTTTGGGAGAAAGGGGGGAAAGAGTAGAATATGGGAGAAGTGGGGAAACAAGAGGGGGAGGGGGAAAGGGGGGGGGAGTGGGGGGTGAGGGGAAAGGAGGGTACGGGAAAAGGGAACAAGGAGGAGGGAATGGGGGAACTGGGTGAATGGAAGAATGGGGAAACCAGGGAAGGGGAGAAAGAGGGAACGGAAACGGAGTTCCCAGGTGAAAGCGAGGTGTGGTGTGGACCAGACCAAACCATCGGTGGTGGGTGGGTGGGCGGTGGCCACTATCCCTCTCCTGCTACCCTTTTTTACCGTTCTCTACCCCTCTTCCCTTTTTGCCCTCGTCCCTCGGCCACCCCAGGTGTTCTCCTGGCACAGGTGCAGTCTGGAGATCCGCAGGCGGGTGTATTGGTATATCCCCTTCCCCTTCTTGTTCCAACCTTCCCCCCTCTTCCACTCGCCTCCCCTTTTCTCACCCCTCCCCCAGGTGTTCACCTGGCACGGGTGCGGTCTGGAGATGCGCGGGCGGGTGTATTGGCAATTTGGCATATCCCCTTCCCCCTCTTCCACTCGCCTCCCCAAACCAAAACCCCCCCCCCGTCTCCCACCAGGTACTCACCCTCCCCCTCTACCAATTTGGCACGGGTGCGGTCTGGAGGTGCGCAGTTACATCGGCAAATCCCTCTCCCTGGCTTATTCCAACCCTTCTCCCATTTCACACTCCCCTCCCCCGCTCCCCTCCCCCCCCCACCCCCTCCGCCTCTCCAGGTGTTCACCTGGCACGGGTGCAGTCGGTAGATGCGCGTGCGGGTGTACTCCCTTCCCCCGCTTGTTCCGACCCTTTTTCCCTCCTCCACTCGCCTCGCCTCCCCCCATGCTCCCCACCCCCAGGTGTTCACCTGGCACGGGTGCAGTCTGGAGGTGCGGGGGTCGCCAACACTGCCAGATGCCCATGTATGCTGCTGACGAGGTGGGGAGTAAGAGGGGGGGAGGGAGGAGGTGGAGGGGAGGGTGGGGTAGGTGGGTATGGTGCGTATTTGTGTCTTTATGTCGCCAGCTTTGCTAGATGCCATGTATGCTGCAGACGAGGTACGGGGGGAAGGAGGAAGAGATGGGACTGGGATGGGAGGAGGGATGGGCGAATAGGTAGGGGGGCGGGTGCGTTGTGTGTGTGTGTCTTTGGGTCCCCAACACTGCCAGATGCCATGTATGCTGCTGACGAGGTATGGAAGGAGGACTGTGAGTGTGAGCGACTGTCTTTGGTGCTGCTCTGTGTGCGTAGTGTCTTTGGGTCGCCAACACTGCCAGATGCCATGTATGCTGCAGACGAGGTGGGAGTAGAGAAGGGGGGACGGGGGAAGATGTAGGGGACGCGTGTGGTGCATGTGTTGTCTTTGGTTTGCCAGCACTGCCGGATGCCATGTATGCTGCAGACCAGGTGGAGAGGGGAGAGTGCTGAGGGGTGCGTGTGGTGCATGGTGTGCTGATGGGGAAGATATAGGGGGTTGCGTGTGGTGCGTGTGGTGCATGTGTTGTCCTTGGGTTGCCGGCACGACGTGTGTCGAATGGAAACATTTCAGAGCTTCGCGCCTAACTACCACCCTGCTTTTTTTGTCCCGTTACCCTTCTTCACCACTCTCCACCTACCACTTTTCCTCTCCCCACTCCCCAGACCCCCATGGTGAGCTATCTGAATCTTCACGCGGTGCTGAACGTGCGGCGAGTTGAGTCAGCAAGGAGCCTCATGTGCGCCCAACCCGCCTGCTGTTTCCCCCCCTTACCTCACTCCCCCTTCCTCCCCCCCAGACCCCCATGGTGAGCTATCTGAATCTTCACGCGGTGCTGAACGTGCGGCGAGTTGAGTCAGCAAGGAGCCTCATGTGCGCCCAACCCGCCTGCTGTTTCCCCCCCTTACCTCACTCCCCCTTCCTCCCCCCCAGACCCCCATGGTGAGCTATCTGAATCTTCACGCGGTGCTGAACGTGCGGCGAGTTGAGTCAGCAAGGAGCCTCATGTGCGCCCAACCCGCCTGCTGTTTCCCCCCCTTACCTCACTCCCCCTTCCTCCCCCACAGACCCCCATGGTGAGCTATCTGAATCTTCACGCGGTGCTGAACGTGCGGCGAGTTGAGTCAGCAAGGAGCCTCATGTGCGCCCAACCCGCCTGCTGTTTCCCCCCCTTACCTCACTCCCCCTTCCTCCCCCCCAGACCCCCATGGTGAGCTATCTGAATCTTCACGCGGTGCTGAACGTGCGGCGAGTTGAGTCAGCAAGGAGCCTCATGTGCGCCCAACCCGCCTGCTGTTTCCCCCCCTTACCTCACTCCCCCTTCCTCCCCCCCAGACCCCCATGGTGAGCTATCTGAATCTTCACGCGGTGCTGAACGTGCGGCGAGTTGAGTCAGCAAGGAGCCTCATGTGCGCCCAACCCGCCTGCTGTTTCCCCCCCTTACCTCACTCCCCCTTCCTCCCCCCCAGACCCCCATGGTGAGCTATCTGAATCTTCACGCGGTGCTGAACGTGCGGCGAGTTGAGTCAGCAAGGAGCCTCATGTGCGCCCAACCCGCCTGCTGTTTCCCCCCCTTACCTCACTCCCCCTTCCTCCCCCCCAGACCCCCATGGTGAGCTATCTGAATCTTCACGCGGTGCTGAACGTGCGGCGAGTCGAGTCAGCAAGGAGCCTCATGTGCGCCCAACCCGCCTGCTGTTTCCCCCCCTTACCTCACTCCCCCCTTCCTCCCCCCCAGACCCCCATGGTGAGCTATCTGAATCTTCACGCGGTGCTGAACGTGCGGCGAGTTGAGTCAGCAAGGAGCCTCATGTGCGCCCAACCCGCCTGCTGTTTCCCCCCCTTACCTCACTCCCCCTTCCTCCCCCCCAGACCCCCATGGTGAGCTATCTGAATCTTCACGCGGTGCTGAACGTGCGGCGAGTTGAGTCAGCAAGGAGCCTCATGTGCGCCCAACCCGCCTGCTGTTTCCCCCCCTTACCTCACTCCCCCTTCCTCCCCCCCCAGACCCCCATGGTGAGCTATCTGAATCTTCACGCGGTGCTGAACGTGCGGCGAGTTGAGTCAGCAAGGAGCCTCATGTGCGCCCAACCCGCCTGCTGTTTCCCCCCTTACCTCACTCCCCCTTCCTCCCCCCCAGACCCCCATGGTGAGCTATCTGAATCTTCACGCGGTGCTGAACGTGCGGCGAGTCGAGTCAGCAAGGAGCCTCATGTGCGCCCAACCCGCCTGCTGTTTCCCCCCCTTACCTCACTCCCCCTTCCTCCCCCCTAGACCCCCATGGTGAGCTATCTGAATCTTCACGCGGTGCTGAACGTGCGGCGAGTTGAGTCAGCAAGGAGCCTCATGTGCGCCCAACCCGCCTGCTGTTTCCCCCCCCTTACCTCACTCCCCCTTCCTCCCCCCCAGACCCCCATGGTGAGCTATCTGAATCTTCACGCGGTGCTGAACGTGCGGCGAGTTGAGTCAGCAAGGAGCCTCATGTGCGCCCAACCCGCCTGCTGTTTCCCCCCCTTACCTCACTCCCCCCTTCCTCCCCCCCAGACCCCCATGGTGAGCTATCTGAATCTTCACGCGGTGCTGAACGTGCGGCGAGTTGAGTCAGCAAGGAGCCTCATGTGCGCCCAACCCGCCTGCTGTTTCCCCCCCTTACCTCACTCCCCCTTCCTCCCCCCCAGACCCCCATGGTGAGCTATCTGAATCTTCACGCGGTGCTGAACGTGCGGCGAGTCGAGTCAGCAAGGAGCCTCATGTGCGCCCAACCCGCCTGCTGTTTCCCCCCCTTACCTCACTCCCCCTTCCTCCCCCCCAGACCCCCATGGTGAGCTATCTGAATCTTCACGCGGTGCTGAACGTGCGGCGAGTTGAGTCAGCAAGGAGCCTCATGTGCGCCCAACCCGCCTGCTGTTTCCCCCCCTTACCTCACTCCCCCTTCCTCCCCCCCAGACCCCCATGGTGAGCTATCTGAATCTTCACGCGGTGCTGAACGTGCGGCGAGTCGAGTCAGCAAGGAGCCTCATGTGCGCCCAACCCGCCTGCTGTTTCCCCCCCTTACCTCACTCCCCCTTCCTCCCCCCCAGACCCCCATGGTGAGCTATCTGAATCTTCACGCGGTGCTGAACGTGCGGCGAGTTGAGTCAGCAAGGAGCCTCATGTGCGCCCAACCCGCCTGCTGTTTCCCCCCCTTACCTCACTCCCCCTTCCTCCCCCCCAGACCCCCATGGTGAGCTATCTGAATCTTCACGCGGTGCTGAACGTGCGGCGAGTTGAGTCAGCAAGGAGCCTCATGTGCGCCCAACCCGCCTGCTGTTTCCCCCCCCTTACCTCACTCCCCCTTCCTCCCCCCCAGACCCCCATGGTGAGCTATCTGAATCTTCACGCGGTGCTGAACGTGCGGCGAGTTGAGTCAGCAAGGAGCCTCATGTGCGCCCAACCCGCCTGCTGTTTCCCCCCCTTACCTCACTCCCCCTTCCTCCCCCCCAGACCCCCATGGTGAGCTATCTGAATCTTCACGCGGTGCTGAACGTGCAGCGAGTCGAGTCAGCAAGGAGCCTCATGTGCGCCCAACCCGCCTGCTGTTTCCCCCCCCTTACCTCACTCCCCCTTCCTCCCCCCCAGACCCCCATGGTGAGCTATCTGAATCTTCACGCGGTGCTGAACGTGCGGCGAGTCGAGTCAGCAAGGAGCCTCATGTGCGCCCAACCCGCCTGCTGTTTCCCCCCCTTACCTCACTCCCCCTTCCTCACCCCCAGACCCCCATGGTGAGCTATCTGAATCTTCACGCGGTGCTGAACGTGCGGCGAGTTGAGTCAGCAAGGAGCCTCATGTGCGCCCAACCCGCCTGCTGTTTCCCCCCCTTACCTCACTCCCCCTTCCTCCCCCCCAGACCCCCATGGTGAGCTATCTGAATCTTCACGCGGTGCTGAACGTGAGGCGAGTGGAGGCAGCTAGGAGCCTCATGCGTGCGAAGCAGCAACTGGCACAAGCTGCAGCAGCAGCAACAGCAGCTGCAGTATCAACATCAGCAACGGCAGCAGCAGCATCCGCATCATCAGCAGCAGTATCAGCACCAGCTGCAGCGGTTGCAGCGGCACAAGCAGCAACTGGAGAACAAAATTAACTCCCTCGTTCTCACCAAGGTGATTCTCTCTCTTTTGGCTTGCTTAGATGATGGTCTCTCTCAGTTTTTTTAGTCGACTCAAAGCACGACTCACCAAGGTGATTCTCTCTCTTTTGACATGCTTAAAAGACCGTCTCAGTTTCCGAGGTGCCTTAAAAGCGGTACTGGGAGGGAGCACAAGACAAACTCTCTTGTTCCCGTGACTTTTGAGAATTCACACGAATTCACACGAATAGTCACACGAAAAGTCACACGAATATCACTGGGAGCACAAGACAAACTCTCTCGTTCCCGGCAAGGTGATTCCCTCCCTCTTGACATGCTTCAAGAATTGTCTCACTTTCTGGGGTGCCTTATAAAGCAGCAACGGGAGCGCAAAATTAACTCTCTCTTGCTCACCAAGTTGACACTCCTCCTTTCATCTTCCAACTCCTTTTCGGGTTTTGAAGCGTCTCAATCTCCCACGAGTCCTTCTTGGCGTTGATCCGAGCTAGAGTTGATTTTTCCCAACAGACTCTGGCAAATCAACGCTAGCTCGGATGCTGCTCTGCTGGGCGGCCAGGCAGGCAGCAGTGACACCCCACCCCACCCCACCCCACCCACGTGGATCTACACGTGGCTCACAGCAGTCTCACAGTGCTTCTCGTCTCGTGCTCCCTCCTCCTCTGCTCTCCCTCTCCCTCCCCTACCATTCGCCCTATCACCCCAGGTCCCCAGAGTCCTGTTAGTCGGCCCAACTGACAGCGGCAAGTCAACCCTGGCACGAATGCTCCTATGCTGGGCGGCCAGGCAGCAGTGGCACCCCACCTACGTGGACCTAGACGTGGCTCACAGCAGTGTCACTGTCACACTGTGCCCTCCCGCCCTTTCAGGTCCCCAGGGTACTGCTAGTGGGTCCCACAGACAGTGGAAAATCCACTCTGGCCAGAATGCTGCTGTGCTGGGCGGCCATGCAGCAATGGCACCCCTCCTACGTCGATCTAGACGTGGCTCACAGCAGTGTCACTGTCGCTCCCGTGCCCCCTCTCTCTCGCTCTTTCCACTTCCCTGTTCCCTGTATCAGGTACCACGCGTCCTTCTAGTCGGCCCAACAGACTCGGGCAAGTCAACTCCGGCCAGAATGCTTCTCTGTTGGGCGGCCAGGCAGCAGTGGCATCCCACCTACGTGGTCCTAGACGTGGCTCACAGCAGTGTTTCTGTCCTTCCCGCCCTTTCAGGTACCACGCGTCCTTCTAGTCGGCCCAACAGACTCGGGCAAGTCAACCCCGGCCAGAATGCTTCTCTGTTGGGCGGCCAGGCAGCAGTGGCATCCCACCTACGTGGACCTAGACGTGGCTCACAGCAGTGTTTCTGTCCCTTCCCGCCCTTTCAGGTACCACGCGTCCTTCTAGTCGGCCCAACAGACTCGGGCAAGTCAACTCCGGCCAGAATGCTTCTCTGTTGGGCGGCCAGGCAGCAGTGGCATCCCACCTACGTGGACCTAGACGTGGCTCACAGCAGTGTCACTGTCCCTTCCCGCCCTTTCAGGTGCCAAGGGTGCTGCTAGTCGGTCCAACAGACTCGGGCAAATCCACGCTAGGCAGAATGCTTCTATGCTGGGCGGCCAGGCAGCAGTGGCATCCCACGTACGTGGACCTAGACGTGGCTCACAGCAGTGTGACCGTGCCGGGGGCAGTAGCCGCCACGCCTGTGGAGGCACCCCTAGAAGCCAACGCCAGGACTGTGGAGGAGGCGCCTCTGGTGCTGTTCTATGGGCATACCAACCCCAGGTGAGCAGTGTGGGTGAGATGAGGTATCTATGCACGAGCATGCTACTGTAGTAGCATAGCATAGCATACTGTGGCGGGGGCTGTGGCGGCCACGCCAGTGGAAGCACCACTGGAAGCGGATGCAAGGAGCGTGAAGGAAGCGCCTCTGGTGCTGTTCTATGGACACACCAACCCCAGGTGCGTGCGATGAGGTGACGGAAACTTGCACAGAAGGCTCACAGCAGTGTGACTGTGCTGGGGGCTGTGGCGGCCACACCAGTGGAAGCACCACTGGAAGCTAATGCAAGGAGTGTTGAGGAAGCTCCCTTGGTGCTGTTCTATGGACACACAAATCCCAGGTGAGCTGGTGAAGAGTGTGTGTGGCATGGTGACGGGTTGTGGCCGCCACGCCAGTGGAGGCATCACTTGAAGCGGATGCAAGGAGTGTTGAAGAGGCTCCCCTGGTGCTGTTCTATGGGCACACCAACCCCAGGTGTGTAGTGTGTGAGGGAGAGGAAGTAGCATGGTAGCATGCTGTGGCTGCCATTCCAGTGGAGCCACCGCTTGAGGCGAATGCAAGGAGTGTTGAAGAGGCTCCTCTGGTGCTGTTCTATGGACACACCAACCCCAGGTGCGTACAAGGGAAGAAGGTGGGGTATATGCACGAGTGGAAGCACCACTGGAAGCGATCGCGAGGAGCGTGGAGGAGGCGCCTCTAGTGCTGTTCTATGGACACACCAACCCCAGGTGCGTAGTGTGCATGCCTGTGTGGCAGTGGCAGTGGCAGTGGCAGTGGCAGTGGCAGTGGCATTGTCGACTAGACATCAGTTTTTTGTGGGAGATGGAGAAGTGGAGTTAAGTCACCTTACCATACTCTATTACACTTTCTTAATCCCACCCAACCCAACCCCATTCGGTCTTCCTTTCTCCCTTGACTCTCCTGTTACAGTGGGAGAAGCTTGACTCATACAGTGCTCTAGTGGCGGCACTGGCGGAGGCAACAGACAGTGAGTCGTGTTTTGAGTCGAATCAAAACACGGCTCTAGTGGCGTGGCGGCACTGGCGGAGGCAAAAGACAGGCGACTGGGCATGCAGCAGGCAGCATTTGTGCTCATTACAACTCACATCCTCTTCTCCCCCTTTCCCGCTGCGTTCCCCACTAACAGTGCCAACCTTGACCTATACCGTGCACTGGTGACGGCACTGGCAGACGCAACAGACAGGCGACTGGGCATCACACCCTTGGGAGAGGATTGAAAGCTCAGTAGTCTTCAAGTTTACATGCTCCCCTCCCCCTTCCAGTGCCAACCTTGACCTATATCGAGCACTGGTGACGGCACTGGCAGACGCAACAGACAGGCGACTGGGCATCACACCCTTGGGAGACGGAGGAGGAGGGGAGGAGGGGGGAGGGGATGGTGGAACAGCAGGAGCAGGAGCAGGGAGGGAGGCAGCAGGAGAGGCGGCAGCGATAGGGGCGGCAGCAATAGGGGCGGTTCCAGTGGAGGCAGCAGCAGCAGGGATCATAGCGAACAGCATGGGATGGGTGGACGGGGCTGGTTACCAGGTATGTGTTGGTGGGGCTGGGCATGAGGTATGTGTTAAAGGGGCTGGTTACCAGGTATGTGTTGGTGGGGCTGGGCATGAGGTATGTGTTAAAGGGGCTGGTTACCAGGTATGTGTTGGTGGGGCTGGGCATGAGGTATGTGTTAAAGGGGCTGGTTACCAGGTATGTGTTGGTGGGGCTGGGCATGAGGTATGTGTTAAAGGGGCTGGTTACCAGGTATGTGTTGGTGGGGCTGGGCATGAGGTATGTGTTAAAGGGGCTGGTTACCAGGTATGTTGGTCCAAGGGCCACTGTTCCGTGCAGTAGGAGCGGCAGCAATATTGACGGTTCCAGTGGAGGCAGCAGCAGCAGGGATGATAGCGAACAGCATGGGATGGGTGGATGTGGCTGGTTACCAGGTATGTCGATCCAAGAACCACTGTCTTGTGTAGGGAGGAGGGAGGCAGCAGGAGAGGGGCTGCAATATGGGCGGTGCCAGTGGAGGCAGCAGGAGAGGGGCTGCAATATGGGCGGTGCCAGTGGAGGCAGCAGGAGAGGGGCTGCAATATGGGCGGTGCCAGTGGAGGCAGCAGGAGAGGGGCTGCAATATGGGCGGTGCCAGTGGAGGCAGCAGGAGAGGGGCTGCAATATGGGCGGTGCCAGTGGAGGCAGCAGCAGGGTTCATAGCGAACAGAACAGCATGGGGTGACTTTTGAGTCGACTCAAAAGAGGTCACTTTTGAGTCGACTCAAAAGTCACCTGGAGGCAGCAGCAGCAGGGATCATAGCGAACAGAACAGCATGGGATGGGTGGATGGAGCGGGATAGCAGGTGTGTGCTGGCGGTGCTGGTTACCAGGTGTGTGCTGGCGGTGCTGGTTACCAGGTGTGTGCTGGCGGTGCTGGTTACCAGGTGCGTGTTGGTGGTGCTGGTTACCAGGTGCGTGTTGGCAATGCTGGTTACCATGTTTGTGGTTTATGGATGGTACAGATACCATCTTGTTCTCTGTTTGGTGCGACTTTTGAGAATTCTCAGAAGTAACAGATACCATCTTCTTCTCTGTTTGCGGTCCATTTTCCAAGATTGGAGGGACACACACACACGCCTTAAACCAGACCAACGATTGCCGTTTTTTATTCTGCTCCCTCACCCCTCTCCCTCCGTGCACTTCCTCCCTGCGTTGCCTCTGCAGCTGCTGCTACACTCCATTGATGCCTTGCGGGCCAACGTGGTGCTTGTACTGGGGCAGGTGCGTCTGTTTGAGATTCCCTGATAAGCAACCATCACTTCATAGTGCGTTTGTTGGGGTAAGAAAGAATCAGTGTAGCTAAGGTCAATGAGTTGATGGTCAACGTGGTGGTGCTTGTACTGGGGCAGGTGCGTCTGTTTGAGATTCCCTGATAAGCAACCATCACTTCATAGTGCGTTTGTTGGGGTAAGAAAGAATCAGTGTAGCTAAGGTCAATGAGTTGATGGTCAACGTGGTGGTGCTTGTACTGGGGCAGGTGCGTCTGTTTGAGATTCCCTGATAAGCAACCATCACTTCATAGTGCGTTTGTTGGGGTAAGAAAGAATCAGTGTAGCTAAGGTCAATGAGTTGATGGTCAACGTGGTGGTGCTTGTACTGGGGCAGGTGCATCTGTTTGAAACTCACTGACAGGTGACTTCATTTCATAGTGTGTATGTCAGTGGTGCGTGTGCTGAGAATACCTGATAAGCCTCAGTGTAGCTAAGGTCAATGCGCCTGGAGCCCTCATTCTTTTGAGGCGCCTCAAAAGATTACCTGATAAGCCTCAGTGTAGCTAAGGTCAATGCGCCTGGAGCCCTCATTCTTTCGTGGCCTCAAGACCTATTTCTCATCCTCCTCCCTTTCCCCCACCTCCCCCTCTCCTTCCCACACCCCTTCTCCTCACCACAGGAGCGGCTCTACAGCATGCTCTCTCAGAGCACTACCGAAGCAAGGCAGCAGCAGCTGGTGCTGCCCACGGCACTGCTGGCGGTGCTGCCAGCAGCAGCCATACAGCGGCGGTGGAGGTGGTGAAGCTCCTTCTCTCCTCAAGTGCCGTCCTCCCCTCCCTCTCCTGCCCACCCTCTCACCACAGGAGCGACTTTACAGCATGCTCTCGGAGCACTACCGAAGCAAAGCAGCAGCAGCTGCTGCAGATGGTACCCCTGCCAGCCATGCAGCGGCAGTGGAGGTGGTGAAGCTTGTTCTCTCTTAGCCTCAGGAGTTGTTTCTCTTACCCCCTTCTCCTCACCACAGGAGCGGCTGTACAGCATGCTCTCAGAGCACTACCGAAGCAAAGCCGCAAAGGCTGCAGCGGATGGTACCCCTGCCAGCCATGCAGCGGCGGTGGAGGTGGTGAAGCTTTCTCTGTTCACTTCAAGACCGTTTCCTCTCCCCTTTTTCCCCTTCTTCTCTCTCTACCACAGGAGCGACTCTACAGCATGCTTTCGGAGCACTACCGAAGCAAAGCGGCGGCAGCTGCTGCGGATGGTATCCCTGCCGGCCATGCAGCGGCGGTGGAGGTGGTGAAGCTTGTGCGGTCCGGAGGTGCCGTGTCCCGTGCTTCCAAGTTCAGGCAGCGGTTGAGACAAGCAGTCATAAAGGTACAAAAGAACGGGAACTGAAAGATGAAGACAGAAATTCTTCGGGTCAACTGATTATTTGGTAACTGGCCTGATACCACCCCTGATCTTGAAAATATCCCCTTGCTGTTTTTTTTCAAGTTTTTTCTTCTTTACTATGATTTATCAGGCATACTTTTACGGGCCCGAGCGGCAGTTCTCGCCTCATTCAAGCACATCCAGCTGGTCGGAGTACACGGTGCTGAGAGTAGGGGGAGGGCCACAGGCACCGCAGTCAGCACTTCCCATCGGAGCAGCGAGGGTTTTCAGACCCGCTTCGTACTGCACCAGTGGTTCTTTCACGGGAGCTGGAGCATCATGTGCTGGCGGTTTCGCATGCCAAGGAGGAGAAGGACGCTGTTTACTGGGTGAGATTTTTGTGGGCGTATGGTATCTGTACTGTCCCTTTGGACAGCTGGTGTATTTTGCATACGTCGGTGGTCGGTTGTCTTTTCCTGCAGCCTTTGGAAAGTGTGCTGATCGCTTGTCTCCTGTACTTGGTTGTACTGTTTTTTGGAGTGCAGGAGCATCGCTGGATTCATCTGTATAACACAAGTGGATATTGCCAAGGGCAAGTTCATGTTCATAGCGCCCAGCCCAGGGCCATTGCCAGGAAAGATTCTCCTCTTTGGCTCCCTAACCTGGGTGGAGTAGGGTACGTCATATCAGTTAGGTGAGGGTTCATGTAGAGAAAAATGTGTATGTTGGTCATGCAGAATCTGCCACATGCTTTACCAAGTAAATTGATCAATATTGTAGTGTATGGCTCAATTGAGCAAATAATGTACTGACAAAATGAAGAATGTGTTCACAACACATCATTGTAGCCATGTAGCTGATGTGGAGCTGCTGCTGGAGCAGAGACAAGCCAGCCAGCTAGTCCACGCTTGCTCTTGGCTTCTTCCACACCAATTTGCACTGTTTCCCATCGCCCTCAGCTCGCTCATACGCCAGAACCTGCAATTAGAAACCAAATTGGCAGCATTCACATTCAGTGCAACTCGGACCTTCAGCACAAAAATGGATTAGGATTGAGGTTGCATTCAGTCAGTAAGGCCCCCTCACCTCTCTTGCTCTCTTGTCACTTGGTGTCCAAGACAGCCGTGACTCCTCAGCTCTGCTAGAGGAGCTCCCTCGTTGATCAGACGCCTGCACACCCTGCAGCTTCCGCTTCACCAGCACATGCTTGGGGATCTTGCTCCCTGTGTGCCAGAACTTCTGCAGAGACGCATCAGCCTCCTCTCGCCTTCTTGCAGAATCATCTTGAAAAAGGTTCGTGCGGATGCGTTTGTTAGAGTTCGTAGATTGCTCTCTGCCACGAATCTGCCTGTTGGTTTGAGGAGGTGCTGGTGGGGAAGCCCATGTTTCCTGGCTTGGAGAGCTCTGCATCGGCTGATGCTGCGACCGATATTGCTGGGGGTGTGGGCGCTGCTGCTGCTGCTGATATTGAGATTGAATGGGCTGTGCATGACGGGGAGATAGGAATTGGGAGTCATCTGGACGTGTACCAGGGCCAGAATAGCGGGAAATCTGAGGGGAGGAGGACCTTGCACCATATGGGTTTCCTCGTGTACCAGCTGGGGGGATTTCTGAATGGAAGGATGAACTGCCTGTAGGGTTACTTTGGTGACCTGCTGATTGCCTTCTTGACATCCAGCCCTGCAAGGCAGATTTAACGCCGCTTGAAGCAGAGGGAGCTTGAGAGGGCTCTGAGTCGCTTGCTCCTGCATCAAGGAATCGGAAGTTCAGATGTATAATATGCATAACAGGCAGGAGACCGCAGAATAACAGGCAGTGCAAACACACCTTGGAAGTATGTGCTGCTGGCAGGTGATGCAGAATAGTGGCTGCTTGGAGAATCGGCCATGCGCACTTGAGACATGTGGTTGTGGTAGTAGTCTTCATTCCCAAGAAGTGGTGCTGCATCTGCCTGCTCAATCTCAAATGCAGACGGGAAGCTTCGAACGCCGCTTGGCTCATCACCAAATGAATAGGCATCCACATCTGCATCTGGCGTTACCAGTCGCTCTGATTGTCCTGGTCTGTGGTACAACTCGTGCGGCTGCTGGTGGAACCTCCTCTGCTGCTGCCTGCTTTCCTGCTGCTGGAGATGCTGCTGCTCATATCCTCTCCATCCACCACCACGCTGACCAGGATCACCATCATCATCATCACTCAATACAAGGGTTTCAGCTTCTGAGGCGGTTGGCCGAGCAGACTGATGCCCCCATGGCACATCTGGAGGTGGCCTCGATCTCCTTCCAGAAGGAAAACTAGAGCCCAAGTACGCAGACGAAGCAGCAGCTGCAGCGGGTGGAGGATGAATCGAGTGTTCATGACGTGAAGTATATCGAGAATCTGGATTGAAAGGCATGTCTCGGTGAGGCGGTGGCATGCCATCATATGCGCTTTCGGGATGATAACCGGTTTGCCTCATGTCACCCGGGTACATTGGCAGGTTGCCTTCTGATGGAGGTGAATTCCGTGAGCCCTGGACAGGCATGTGGTTGCGAGCTGTGGCCTGCTGTGGTGTAGTCTTGTGTTCACATTGGCCCTGAAACAGGCTGAGGGAGCGGGATGGAAGGCCGCGAGGAACTGTTGCTGATGCTTGCTGCTCGTGGTGCAGACACATGAACACAGGCAGAGGAAAGCCCGAGGTCATGATGATGTGTGCAGAGAGTGGGTTGAGGGATGGGAACCGACACAGGAAGGCTTCTTGGAAAGACTCGGATTCAGGCAGGGGCGTGCGGAAGGGCTGGGAGGCTGATGGTTGGGAGCCTGATTGTTTGGCAGTGGAAGGGAAAGAAGCTGCAGATAGCAGGCTGAGAATCAATCTCTCGGTTGCGGCTTCAGATGACGAGAAGAAACATTGCACGTCCAGGTCCAGTGCTGCTCCTCCAGCATAAAGATCGTCCACATTGCGCTTGATTTGTGTCAGATAGGCGTCAGTTCCCTCAAACACCTGCCAGTTGATAAGCATGAGTTGGTGACACTGATAAACCCATGTCTCAAAGGATTTCAGAAGGAATACGTGTCCGACTTACCAAGAAGCAGGTCTGGTAAGCGAAACTGAGAGCCTTCAGGTGGGTTTCCACAACAGCTTCTAGACACACAGTCATAAGTGAACTCGACGGAAGCCCGTCCATTGCTGCCAGTTTCTGAACTTCTTTCAGGCGCTGGGGGTTATAGATGATCAGTGAGCTTGATGCATTCAGCACAATCTCTGCCGGTGCTACCAGATCCCGTTCAATAATCTGCGAAGGAGAAAACAATCAATCAATGTTCGTTCATGCTGGAAAAGAGGAATGCACAAGAAGCATTGAACTACCTGAATGCCGCTTTCCTCCAGCTGGAGGATCTTATCGTATAGTTGTCTTCTTCTGAGCACAATGGGGTCAAACTGGTCCCTGGTGTTGACAATGACTGTTCTCTTGTATTCCACGGCAGCCTTCTTCTGTTCTTGAACTTCAATTGGACGATGATGTGACAGATGTTCCTCATGCCTCCAACTGTTCGGCTCTGAGACCAGTTCAGGTCCATCAGCAGTCGTGTATGGAGCAGAATCCGTTACAACTGAGGCAGAGTGTCTTAAAGCTTCAGGTGCTGCGGAAATCTCATCATAACAGTCTTCTGGTTCGCTGTCAAGGAGAATGACTGTGGGAGCCTCTGGTTTCCGTTGCTGCTCTAAGTGTTGAACCTTCTCAGCCGTAATTGGGTGCACTTCCTTTGGAGCTTGTGTAGGCATGGACTGCACGTAAAGAAAATTGGCATAAACATGGCTTTTCCACAAGAAAAAAAAAGAACGAGAGTTATTGGTCACAAACCTTGACCTCTGTTAGCAATGCCTCGTCAGGGTCCTCCACAGAAAGAATGTGGACATTTCTGCTGATGGAATTAAGGACACGCAGATCTTCTCCTTCCACAAGATCACTGTAGATAATCACCATACTGAACTTGGTCACTGGAAATGAAGGCACCAGGTATCTGCAGGAAAACATCCAAATTAGCACAAGAAAAGCATTTAACAAACAATTCACGGATCAGCAATGTGCGCCCACTTACTTCGGAGAAACCAAGAGGCAGTCTGAAATCTCAAGCGCTTCATGCACCTCCTGCTGCACAATCTTCCACTTCCTCTCTGGTATCCCTCTCCCATCCATCCCACTGAGCGCTCCAGAACGTCCGAGCTGGAAGGGCTGGAACTGGCATGTGCCCAGCAGCTTGTACATAGTGAAAAACGCCATGTTCTCAGCAACAATCAGCACATTTGCAGAGCCTGTAGAAGCTGTAGCGCCCTTAGAGTCCTGTAACTGGCAGGACTTCTTATGGGTTCTGAGGATAGAGGTCAGCATGGAGAGCTTTGGGTGATCCACCGTTGCACCCCCCTCCACCAGCTCAAATGCTGACGCCAGTGCTTCTCTGGTCCTCTTGAAGAGTGCAGCAAGGTGAGCAGTGGATGCAGCTTCCAACCCCTGTTCCAGAAACAGATGAGCAACGCGGATACCGTACTGCCAGCACAGCATTGCGGACTGGTGAAGCAGGTACAGGCATTTCAGCTGTTGCAGCACACGGTCCTGTGATAGCTGGCCAGAAGTCCGCTGAGAAATTTCTACCTTGATGGATTGGCTGACCTCCTGTTTCAGGCGAAAGGGTTTCACGGACGTCTTGGCTTCCTTGTTCAGTGACCACAGTAGATTCTGATACTCTCCCTTGGCTAGATCCACGATATCTGCAAGGTCCTGAGACATCTGCACTCTGTGGACCTGTGAAACCGATTTGTTCAAGGACTGGTTGGCAGCTGGAGGCGACTTCAAGCAAACGGGTTGCGCAATAGTCACATCCTCGACCCCCTTCTCCAAAGCTCTAGCTGCATTATGTGCTCCGAAGTTGACCTCTTCTGCAAGTCTGGTTGGCTCAACTGCTGCTGCTACCTCCTGAGGTGGTTCTTGCTGAAGACTCTGTGCTTTCCCCTGCCTTGCATTCATGAAAAAAATGAGCTCGCTTGACATTTTCTGAACTTGGTGCTGGAAACCAATCCGCTTGCCCTCCTCTCTAGCAGCTGAGCCTGGTCGGTTATCCTCGTTATTCTTCAGCATAACAGCAGCAGGAGAGGCGGTGGCAGTTGTGGCACAGGCAGCAGCGGCGGCGGCAGCTGCAGCGACAGAAGCACACATAGCGGCAGCAGCAGCAGAAGCGGGAGAAGCAGACGCAGCTGCAGCAGCAGTATCAGCTGGCGATGGCATTGACACTAATCGACTGTGAGGTAGATTCATAGGAGAAACAGGGGGTGGTGTCACAATCGATGGTTGAGGCTGAGGCTGAGGCTGGGGCTGGGGCTGGGGCGACGGCATGATTTTAACATGTGAAAGCGGTACATGAAGCTTTGGTGCAGTCTGAGGTTCAGCGTGTCTAACCTGAGGCTGAAATGGCGGCTGCACTGCAGCAGCAACACGAGAAGCATGTGGTGATGGTGAGACGAATGGTGCAACGGTTGGATAGGTCGACGTTGCACCCACCATCTGAACCAACGCTGATGGCAGCAGCATTCTTTGCTCGATTTGCGAAACCGCTTGTGCAGAAACGCTCTGCATCCTGTCCTCAAGGAGAGAAAACAGTGAGTCAGATTGAGGTGGCTCGGATTGGAGCAGCTTAACTTTCCGAAAAGATAACTTGCAGTCAGCGTTGGAACAACTGAATGAAGTGCAAGACTTGAAATCTTGCGACAGATGCCAATCTAGGTATAGGAAATCTCTTGCACGAGAAGCCATTGTAAGATTCGCCTTCACGGACTCGCTTAGAGATAAGAACGCGGAGACAGGTAGGAGATTGCCATCTCCCTGCAATTCGTCCTGCTGCAGAAGTGGAACTGGTAGTAATCGAATCCCACCACAGTTGAAAGTGAGCTGGGGAGCCACAACCAGCTCGTTGAAGTCTTTCATTGACACGCTCATGGAGGGAAGTGCTTCAAGGCGAAGAGTATTTTCTTTGCAGACCAGCTCCATGGCCAGCTTCTCACCCATCAGTGACTGGCTGAGTGATGGAAACGGCACATCAAGCAGCGGAACACCTTCACTCTTGGCTGCTTGACCAGCAGAGGTACTTGGCTCCTCCAGAACCTTGCAAAGTGTCTCAGTGTATGTCGGCTTCACTTCATCAATAGTCATCCGACCTGGACCCAGAAGCGACATCATGTTTCTACGGCTGTTTAAAAGTCCACTCAAAGCGTCTTCAGGTGGCTTCATCAGATCCATCTTCTTTATAAGCGTCGACGGATCCGTCATGGAATGACCGGGATTAATGGGATCGTCCAGGATGCACGGAGGGTCCATGGGACAGAAAGTGTCCATCGTGTGTGGCTTGCCGCGCTTTGAAGATGTTGATGAATTGCACGCTGCTTCGATGTCCAATAAGGAAACGAGATGTTTCTTGAATGGTGCAGATTCCATCGCGATGGGTTCTGCATCCTCCTCCGCACGTCTGACGTTCTGCATTTCATAAACGAATTAGCAAGGAATACGAGTAGACATTTTGACTCCGTATTGAATGTGGAAGGCTTACCATCTCTGGTGGAGGATCGACGTTTTCCAATGCCAAGCGCTCACAGTCAATCTGGTAAAACACCTCCTCTCCAATTTTCTGCCAAGGTCACGAGTTATGGAAATGGATGCTACCAATAAATAAAACATAATAAGTATTGTGAGGGACAGACGCATAAGGGACAGCGAGAGTGACCTGGAAATCCGTATCCTGCAGTAGAGGTTCCTCAAAATTGGCCACCAAGGGAGTAATGGGTTCAGCATCGCTAAGTTCGTTACTGTCCAGCATCCATTCGATGGTGCTGAAAGTTGACGTTTTCGACACCGCTTGATTTTGAGGAAGAAACTGCGTGAGAATGGAAGCGGCTGCTGCTTTCGGAAGGATGGTCGCGGAGAGCTCAGAGAGATCTACCCCATGACTGAGGTTCTTGCTGTCATTCGCTAGAAGCTGAAACAATGCGACAGGTATGTCGTCGGGTAAAGCAATGTCTTCACCGTCTACAATCCTAGGACACGGCAAAGTTCGCCGATCTTGCTTTTGTTGTTGCTTCATTGACGCTAATGCGTAGTAGTCCACGTGATGCCAACGTAACCGCATGATCTCCGAAAACAGATAAGGAAAGATCAAGCTCCTGACGCCGGCACACAGAACGAAGAGCACTTCCGTCACACCGTTTAGTGATCCTTCAGGCAACTAGTGATCAACGTAAACTTGCTTGTTACGCAAACGCTGTGATCACCAAGCAACGTATTCTACTTGGTGCTGTGGTGGTGGCATGGGATGGGAAGAGTGTTGCTGCCTGTGATGTGTTTCTCGGGATCACCGAAATTCTCACAAAAAGTCCTGACGCACGCGCTATACGCGCCGTTTGAAATCCCGAATATCCCCTCTCGACCCACATATCTGATACTTCGTATATGGTAACATGATGGGTAGTGTAAGGAAATTTTCAGTATACCTTACCGCGGCCTACGCTTCGGGCCTAGCCAGAACCTCGCTGCCAGCTTCTCACTACGCACCGCGTTACCGTTTGCTTGTTTCGTAATAACGAATGTGTTGAGATTAGGCGATAAGAAGGAATGGTAGAAGTGTGATTTGAACTAGCAGGAGGTGGGATACATATAGGAAACCCTAAAAGGGTTGTACTCGCTGTTGGATACCCCACTACAGCCTACAGAACAAATGACAGTTTGACACACCCCCATAGGCAAAGTGGGGTATAGCCAACAGAACAAGCAGTCACAGAACCAGTTCATAGGCAAAGACTGGTGGCATAAGCAGAGGGCAAGTGAGGAGGAGGAAACTCGAAGGGAGAGGAGGTGGGCGGCCGCTGAAGCTGCTGGCACTGGTCGCAAACGGCGTAACTGGCTCTGCTCGCCAGCAAGAGCAACTGACCCTCTGGGGACCGGAGCAACGGGTAACCGGAGTAACTGGCTCGCTCGCCGGCAAGAGCAACTGACCCACGGGCCTCTGACGCAACGGTCTCACGGGCGACTAGAGCTACGGACTTCACGGCGGCCACCCGCCCTCACCCCCCTCGTATCGTCCAACCCCCCCCGTGTCACACCCCTCGGCCCTAGCGCCACTCCCAAGTCTCCCCCACACACCTCCCCCCCCCTTCAGCTGCAGCTGCAGCAGTGAGAGAGAGAGAGGAGGAGGAGCGGCAGCTCAACACGCACGCCCGCCACCCCCATCCCCCCCCCCCCCCCCACAGCTGCAGGCGCAGCAGGGAGATGGAGTCGAGGGGGCGGGGTAGGAGCTGCTCCGCGGCTGCCCGTCACCCCCATACCCCCCCACGGCTGCACGCGTAGCAGGGAGAAGGAGGCGGGGGGGGGCGGGGTAGGAGCTGCACCGCGGCTGCAGGTTCTGGCGCGTGCCCGAGGCGCGCGGCGTGCAGAGATCCGCGCGCGGCCCCGGGCGCGCGACAGGCAGGGGCTGGCGCGCGGGTCCCCTGGGGCGCCGCGACAGGCGACGGGGGACGGCGCGCGGGTCCCCGGGGGCGCCGCGACGGGCGACGGGGGGGCGACGCGCGGGTCCCCGGGGGCGCCGCGACGGACGACGGGGACGGCGCGACAGTCCCCGGGGGTGCCGCGACGGACGACGGGGGGCGGCGCGCTGGTCCCTGGGGGCGCCGCGACGGACGACGGGGCGTGAAACCGCGCGCGCCCTGGGCGCGCGGCGGGCAAGAAACCGCCACGCGCCCCGAGCGCGTGGCGGGCAGAAAACCGCCGCGCACCACGGGGCGCGCGGGGGGCAGAAAAAATGTCGCGCGCCCGGGGCGCGCGACTAACACGATAGCAGCGGAAGCTGTCAGAACATTATATAGCTTATGCTGTTGTGTAGGCTATAGTGGGGTATCCCATAGGGGGTACAACCCAATTAGGGTTTCCTATATGTACTCACTTCATTCATAGTTCATTCATTCGCGTTCTCCTCTTCACATGGAATCAGAGCAGGTCCCCTCCTAGGGACTGTTTCTAGGGCCCACCGAAGCGCGCCCCGAGGCGCGCTTTCCTTTTTTTTAGCGACCCTCCGTGTCGCCCCTAGCGGCCCGTTGCGCCGCCCTTACCTACGCGAGCCCGCCGCCCTTACGTCGCGGCCCAGCCGCCCTCACGTCGCGGCCCCGCCGCCCTCACCTACGCGGCCCCGCCGCCCTTAAGTCGCGGCCCCCGCCGCCCTCACGTCGCGGCCCCGCCGCCCTCACGTCGCGGCCCCCGTCGCCCTTGCCTACGCGGCCCCGCCGCCCTTAAGTCGCGGCCCCGCCGCCCTCACGTCGCGGCCCCGCCGCCCTCACGTCGCGGCCCCACCGCCCTTGCCTACGCGGCCCCGCCGCCCTCACCTACGCGGCCCCGCCGCCCTCACGTCGCGGCCCCGCCGCCCTCACGTCGCGGCCTCGCCGCCCTTGCCTACGCGGCCCCGCCGCCCTCACCTACGCGGCCCCGCCGCCCCACTTCGCGGCCCCGCCGCCTACGGTACCGGCCCCGCCGCCTATCCTCACCGGCCCCGCCGCCTACGACCGCCGAGCCGCCCTGCCGCCGAGCCGCCCTGCCGCCGAGCCGCCCGGGAGCCGAGCCGCCCAGCAGCCGAGCCGCCGAGCCGCCCAGCCGCCGGGCCGCCCTACTGCCGAGCCGCCCGACCTGCCCTGCCTGGTGAGCACAGCACCACTGTTACTGCGTGCCCTTCCCCTACTGCTTGCACTACTACACTGTCGTCGTCATGGCTACCCCTAGTGTCCTCGCTTTTGACGCTGAGGGTCGAGCCATTGACTCTGAGGTCTGGGTCGACGACCTGCAGCTGTTCTTACAGTGCGATAGGGCGGACGGTCTTTCCCTCTTTGACCTCACCTCTGGCGCCTCTCCTGCCCCTGCTGCTGATGCTGACCCCACTGTTCGCTCTCAGTGGGCCACCCGCGATGCTGCTGCACGTCTTGCTGTGCGTCGCCACCTGCCTACCACTGAGCGCGCGCACTTTAGTCAGTACAAGAGTGCTCAGACCTTGTACGACGCTGTAGTTGCGCGCTACTCTTCCCCTGCCACTGCTGCCCTGAGCCGCCTCATGCTACCGTACCTCTTTCCTGACCTTGCTGCCTTTCCCACTGTCGCTGACCTCATTACGCACCTCCGCACTAGTGACACTCGCTACCGCGCCGCCCTTCCTGCTGAGTTCTGCGCCAAGAACCCCCCCCCCATGTACATCACTCTCTATTACATAGTCACACGCCTCCCTGACTCCCTTCGCGTAGTCAGGGACCACTTCCTCTCAGTCTGTCCCACCACTCTCACTGTCGACCTCCTCGAGAAGTCCCTCCTGGCGGCGGAGAAGAGCATCGTCGCTGTAGGAGCCTCTCGTGGTGACCCTCGCACCCCCATCTTTGAGGGGTGTTCTCCTTCCCCCCTGCTGCCCTCTGTTGCCTCTGCTGCTGCTGCCGACCTGCTTGGTCTTGAGTCGGTCTGCGCGGCGTCTGCCCCTAGCGGGAGACGCCGCCCTGGCAGGGGCAAGGGGGGCAAGGGCGCGGGTGGAACTGGCGGGGGCGGTGGAGGTGGCGGTGGAGGCGACGGAGGGAGTGGGGGTGGCGGTGGGAGTGGTGGCGGGGGCGGTGGTGGCGGTGGCAGCAGCGGAGGAGGAGGCGGTGGTGGCGGCAGCGGTGGGAGCGGAGGCAGCGGTGGTGGTGGAGGTGGAGGCGGCGGTGGCGGAGGGGGTGGAGCTGGTCGGGGTGGTGCCCCGCAGCGTAGCGGCTCTGGTGGTGGCCAGCGTCAGCAGCAGCAGCAGCAGCAGCGTTCGCGGGACATCCCCCCGCCCCAGCAGCTCCGTGAGTGGTACACGCAGCGTCAGCGGGGTGGGGGTTTTGGTCCGTGCACCTACGTCCTTCGTTCCGGCGACCGCGCGGGTGAGCAGTGTGGGGGTGCCCACCCCACCCAGCGCTGCTTTGGCCGCCTGACGGACGCTTGGCGTCAGCAGTTCCCCGAGGCTAGTGAGATTCCCCGTTGGGGAGAGCTGTCTAGGGCTGGCGTAGCTATCTTTGATCTTGACTTTGATGCTATCCTTGCTGCCATGTATGCTGTGACTATTAGTGAGGAGGGTGACTGTTACCGGTGTTTCCCGCCCGACCCGGGCATTGGTACTGCTGCGCTAGGTACTTCTGCGGCTGCTGCTCTAGGTGCCAGTGCGTCTGCACTCTCAGGTACTGGTGAGGCTGCGCTCTCAGGTACTGCGTCGGCTTCGGCCTCCCTCACCTTCACGCTTGACTCAGGGGCTTCTCGCTCCTTCTTTCGAGACCGCACCACACTCACGCCGCTTGGCCGGCCGGTTGCAGTCTCCCTGGCTGACCCCTCTGGGGGTCCTGTCCTCTCTCACTTCTCCACTGTCCTCCCGTGTCCGGCTGCCCCCTCGGGCACCTTGTCTGGTCTGTACCTCCCCTCGTTCTCGACGAACTTGGTGAGTGGTGCTGACCTGCAGGATGCGGGGGTTCACCAGTTTACTCCTGCGAGTCAGCGGGTGACCCACTGCTCGGACGCCCGCACAGGCCGACACCTGGCCACGTTTTCGCGTCGGCCGGGGTCGAGTCTCTACACCCTGACCACTGAGTCTCCTCCTGTCCCTGCGTCTGGCCAGGTAGCTGCGTCGGGTCAGGTGTTTGCTGCTGCGTCCAGGTCTGGTCCTGAGTCTGCCCCCTGCTCGTGTCGCCGCCTGTCTCAGGAGACTCTCCTGTGGCACCACCGTCTTGGCCACCCCTCCTTGCCTCGTCTTCGGGGCATGGCTTCCCGTGTCCTTGTCTCTGGTCTTCCCCGGTCTCTCCCTCCCCTTCCTTCGGGACCCGGACCTTCCTGTGTCCCCTGTGTCGAGGGGCGGCTCCGGGCTGCCCCTCACTCCTCCCAGTTTCCCCCGACAGAGGCTCCTCTGCAGACGCTTCACATGGACGTGTGGGGCCCGGCCCGCGTCCGTGGGCAGGGTCACGAGCGCTACTTCCTGCTGGTGGTTGACGACTACTCGCGTTACACCATAGTCTTCCCCTTGCGCAGCAAGGGTGATGTCACTGAGGTGTTGATCGACTGGATCCGCGCAGCTCGTCTCCAGCTCAGGAGGAGCTTCGGCTCGGACTTTCCTGTTCTGCGTCTGCACTCTGACCGAGGTGGAGAGTTCTCCTCTGGCCTTCTGCGAGCCTACTGTCGTGCACGAGGCATCCGCCAGACCTTTACGCTTCCGGACTCTCCACAGAAAAATGGGATTGCTGAGCGCCGCATTGGCATGGTCATGGACGTCGCTCGTACGTCCATGATGCATGCGGCTGCCCCCCATTTTCTGTGGCCGTTTGCGGTTCGGTACGCGGCGCATCAGATCAACCTTCACCCCAGGGTCTCCCGGCCGGAGACCTCCCCAGCTCTGCTGTGGACGGGGAAGGTCGGCGATGCGTCTGCGTTCCGTGTCTGGGGATCTCGGGCGTTTGTCCGCGACTTGTCTGCGGACAAGCTGTCCCCTCGTGCTGCTCCCTGTTTCTTCCTCGGCTTCCCCCCTGACGCCCCAGGGTGGCAGTTCTACCACCCCTCCTCTCGTCGTGTTCTGTCCTCCCAGGACGTCACGTTCGACGAGTCAGTCCCCTTCTACCGCCTCTTCCCCTACCGCACTCCTTCCCTCCCCCCGCCACCGCACTTCCTTGTGCCAGGTCCCCCCCCGGTAGACCCCCTTCCCCCTCAGGGTCCTGCCCCTTCAGGTGTGTCCCAGGTAGATGCAGTCGAGCCGGTCGAGGTTGCTGGTGACTCTGGTCCTGCTGCGGGTGCTGAGCCTGGGGGTGCTGACTCTGGGGGTACTACGCGCGTGGGTGCTGAGCCTGGGGGTGCTGAGCCTGGGGGTGCTGAGTCTGGGGGTGCTGAGCCTGGGGGTACTGCGACTGGGGGTGCTGAGCCTGGGGGTGCGGAGTCTGGGGGTGCTGAGCCTGGGGGTGCTGCGACTGGGGGTGCTGAGCCAAGGGGTGCTGCGTCTGGAGCTGCTGAGCCTAGAGCTGCGGAGCCTGCGGCCACTGGACCTCCCCTTGTGGCGTCTGGCGGTGCGGGACCTGGCGGTTCTCCGGGTGCTTCGCCTCGGCGGGAGCCCCTCTCTCCACAGGAGCTGCGCGAGTGGTTTGCTCGCCGCTGGAGACGTACTGCTGGAGCTGGAGCTCCTTCGGCTGCTGAGGGTACTTGTGCCGCTGGTCCCGGAGCTGCTGGGCCCTCGGGTCCGCCTGGAGCTGGAGCTGCTGCGGGTGTTGGTGCTGAGACTGCTGCTGTCCTTCCTGGCGGTGGTCCTGCTGCGGGTGCTGCTGGTGCTGCTGGAGGTCCTGCCGCTGGAGGTGCTGTTGGCGCTGGTGCTGCTGCTGAGGGTGCTGTCCCTGCTGTGTCTGGAGTCGCCGCGCGGCCTCGGCCGTACTTCGTTCCGCTCCTACAGCAGGTTCTTGGTCTTTCTCCTCCTGCAGCGTGTCCACCGCCTGTTCAGTCACAGTCCCAGTTAGAGCCCGCCTCCCCACTTCCTGCTCCCTCTCCTTACACTGGTCCCACTGGAGGTCTTGCTGAGCGTCGTGAGCCTGCGTCTCGTCCTGCGTCGCCTGTTCGTGCTGCTCGCGCTAGTGGTCGCGGTTCGCGTCAGCGTCCTCCTCCTGTCCCTGGCACGCACCGGATGTCTTTGCGTCCGTCCACTGCTCCTCTGCGTGCCCCTTTGCCTTCTCCTCCTGAGTCCTCCCTTCCTGCACTTACCGACCCAGAGTCCGACTCTCTTCGTGCTGCTAGTCCTACTGTCACACGTCTCCTTGCTACTGTCGTCACTGACCCCTCTTTTGAGTCCACTGCTGCGTCTGCGCTTGTTGCTGAGCTCGTCGACTTTGCTGCTCGCTGTCGTCTAGACTACGCTGCCGGTCTTGTTGCTGAGTCTGCGTCTGTCTGTCCTCCGTCCGTCGGGGGTGAGTGTGCTCTTGGCACGGACGTCCTTGAGGACAGGCAGGAGGAGTTCCAGTGTCTGGCTGCTGCTTCACCTCATCTCGCGTCCGTACTACTTGCCCCTGAGGGAGACCCGGATGCACTAGACATCCCGACTCCGCGCTCTTATGCGGAGGCCGTAGAGGGTCCCTACTCCTCTCAGTGGCAGGCAGCTATGGATGCAGAGATGGCGTCCTGGAAGTCCACAGGCACCTACGTTGACGCGGTGCCCCCTCCTGGGGCGAACATCGTCAGTGGCATGTGGATCTTCAGGGTGAAGCGGCCGCCGGGCTCTCCACCTGTCTTCAAGGCGCGGTACGTCGCTCGTGGCTTCAGTCAGCGGCAGGGAGTTGACTACTTTCAGACCTTCTCTCCCACCCCGAAGATGACCACTCTTCGGGTGCTGCTGCACATAGCCGCTCAGCGCGACTACGAGCTCCACTCTCTTGACTTCAGCACTGCTTTCTTGCAGGGTAGCCTGCACGAGGAGATCTGGCTGCGCCGTCCACCTGGCTTCACTGGGACTTTCCCTCCTGGCACCCAGTGGAGCCTCCGACGGCCAGTCTACGGTCTCCGCCAGGCACCGCGTGAGTGGCACGACACACTGAGGACTACGCTTGCGGCTCTTGGGTTTGCTCCCTCTACTGCTGACCCGTCGTTGTTTCTGCGCACCGACACTTCTTTGCCGCCGTTCTACATCCTCGTGTACGTCGACGACTTGGTCTTTGCCACAGCTGACACTGCTGGACTAGCCTACGTGAAGTCCGAGCTGCAGAAGAGACACACGTGCACAGACCTGGGTGAACTGCGCAGCTACCTTGGCTTGCAGATCACTCGGGACAGAGCACGCCGCACCATTACCTTGACTCAGTCACACATGGTGCAGCAGGTCCTTCAGCGCTTCGGCTTCACGTACTCCTCGCCTCAGGCCACTCCTCTGTCTACTCGCCACTCGCTCTCAGCTCTGCCTTCGGATGAGTCCGTAGAGTCGAGTGGCCCGTACCCAGAGCTTGTTGGCTGCCTCATGTACCTGATGACCTGCACACGACCTGACCTTGCATACCCTCTTAGCATTCTTGCACGCTATGTTGCTCCTGGGAGACACCGACCAGAGCACATGGCTGCAGCGAAGAGGGTGTTGCGCTACTTGTGCAGTACGTCGGGCATGGGGCTAGTGCTTGGAGGGCGGAGTCCAGTGGTCCTCACTGGGCACGCGGACGCTTCTTGGGCTGACGACCAGGCTACGCAGCGGTCGTCGCAGGGTTACACCTTCAGTCTTGGTTCCGGCTCTGTCTCGTGGCGGGCTACTCGCTCGTCCTCTGTTCTCGGCTCCAGTTGTGAGGCTGAGATCTACGCCGGGGCCATGGCTGCACAGGAGCTTCGCTGGCTCACCTACCTGCTGACTGACCTTGGAGAGCAGCCTCGTTCTCCTCCAGTGCTGTACGTAGACAACAAGGCCATGCTGGCCTTGTGTCGAGAGCAGCGCTTGGAGCACAGAACGAAGCACATTGCTCTCCGTTACTTTCTTGCTCGTAAGCTGCAGCAGCGTGGTCAGTTGCGACTTGCGTACGTGGCCTCTGAGGCCAACACTGCTGATGTGTTCACCAAGGCACTTGCGCCTTGTGACCATCAGCGCTTCTGCACTCAGTTGGGTCTTGTACCTGTCTTGCCTCACTTGCTCTCCTCTTGACCTTGCTTGTACTGTCACATATATATACCTGCTCTTGCTTGTCTAGCTCTATATATATATATGTGTCCTCCTGCATGTGAACTGGCCTTGTGGCCTTGTCGTTGTGCTCGGACTGTGTGGTGACTTTGTGATCCACCCTGAGCTTGCTGTGCTTTGCGTGACTGGTCTTGTGACCCCTTGTTCTCCCCCACTTTGCCTATGGGGGTGTGTCAGAACATTATATAGCTTATGCTGTTGTGTAGGCTATAGTGGGGTATCCCAGAGGGGGTACAACCCAATTAGGGTTTCCTATATGTACTCACTTCATTCATAGTTCATTCATTCGCGTTCTCCTCTTCACAGAAGCAGTAGGGCCCATGCACAGGATCGACCAAGGAGGGTCGACCTGCTCTGATAGCATGTTGAGATTAGGCGATAAGAAGGAATGGTAGAAGAGTGATTTGAACTAGTAGGAGGTGGGATACATATAGGAAACCCTAAAAGGGTTGTACTCGCTGTTGAGTACCCCACTACAGCCTACAGAACAAATGACAGTTTGACAGAATGCTCGGACTGTCATTCGCTTGTTGGAATGACCAATCTAAGCCGTTCGCTAGTATCCGCGACACGAACCACCCTGCTACGAGATTACCCGTATCGTATACTCCACATCACCTCACTCACCTCCTCGTCACCCCCAGCCCAGCCCGTCCCCTCGCCCAATCTGGTTTTCTTCCTCTTGAATGCTCCACCAGCCAAATCCTCTTGAAGCTCCCTCCAGTCCATAAATTTCTGCCCTTCCGGTCGAACTCGGACTGCTGAGCCAGAATCGTGCAGAGCCAACGTCGAGCACGACTTGCCAGGTACGCGGGCACAAAGCGGCGATTACTTGCAGCGACAATGAAAACAAGGCAAACCGAGCACGTCTGAAACACGTCTGTCCGTTATTAGCAGTTTGAAAATGCCGCGCCGCGACTGTAGCCGGCCTCGCGAGAGCGGCGTAGGATGTTTTAGCATGCTACCCGCTGGATCCTTTATTAGCGCAGCACCTCAAAACACCCACATTCTGTACTAAACGGCGCGCGGCTGAACGATTCTCGACTCCGAGTCGAGCCTCTCTACGGCATTCTGTCGCGATATATATTATATATATATTTATAACTGCCTGTAGCTTTAGCTTTAGTGTAGTTATGTTTCCTTGCTATTGGTGGTGCACAGGGCTTCGTTCTGGATTTGGGCTACTCACGATTGGCAGTATAGCTTTTTCAAAAACCCTTATGGGCAGTGTGTACTTTACCTTAAGGCATCAGTGTGGCCTACGTCGATACACTTACAGATCAGTGTAACACTAACTCACCAAGAAATTACCCCAGCACATCAGTGTAGACAAAAAATTTCACCCTTGTAATCAGTATAGAAGGGTAAATTACACTGATACCCTGAGCCCTGGTGGTGCACCTCTTGTTTGTGTTTCTCGACTATATCTTGTATGCTTTGCTCTTAGTGAAGCCCACTTGTTTGGTCAATTTCTCTCGACCCTTGCTCTCGCCACCCTCGATACCCGCTTGGCCTAGACTACTAAGCCTAGGCCCTCCTTAAACCCGGTTACCAACTAAGTTAGTCTCGTAACATGGTATTGAGCGATTAAAAACCTGACCTAAGTTAATGGGCTCACCAGTTCGCGGCACGGCGCTCACTGCGACGGGCGCCGCGGCGAGTTGACCGCGTTTCCCTCGTCGCCAGCCCGTTGCGATTTCCCTCGTCTCCAGCCCGTCGCGGTTCCTTGTCGTCAGCCCGTCGCGTTTCCCTCGTCGTCAGCCTGTCGCGTTTCCCCCCCGTCACCACCTCTGCCCGCGCCTACGCCTGCTGCCGAGTTTGCGCGAGAGTGGGGAAAGGGGAGGAGGGGGGGGGGGGGGGGGGGGGGGGGGGGGGGGGGGGCATCGGGAATGAAGGGGACGGCGTCCGTGGCGGTCGTCGCGGCCCTTCCCCCCCCGTCCCGTTTTCTTCCCTCCCGTCGCCTCGGCCCCCTGCCCGTCACCCCCCCCCCCCCCCCCCGTCGCGACTGTTCGCGTGTGCAGCGGCGGTCGCTGTGGGGGAGAGGGAGGAGGGGAAGGGATTGGCGGTGGAACGCTGTGGGGGGGAGAGGGAAAGGGGGAAGGGAGTGGCGGCGGAATGCCGTGGGGGAGAGAGGAAAAGGGGGAAGGGAGTGGGGGCGGAACACCAGCGATCACCGCCAGCGCACCGGCGATCGCACCAGCGCTTGCGCGCCTCCTACCGTCCGATCCCGCCCAGCCTGTAGTCGGTCTGCAGCTCGTCCCACCCCTCGCGCCCCATCAGCACCAGGCACCAGCACCAGCACCAGCCGCCAGCTCCAGCGACAGCCGCCAGCACCAGGTACCAGCACCAGCACCGTCACGCCAGCACCAGGCACTAGCACCAGTGCCAGCCGCCGGCACCAGGCACCAGCACCAGCGCCAGCCGCCAGCACCCAGCACCAGCGCCAGCCGCCAGCTCCAGCGCCAGCCACCAGCACCAGGCACCAGCACCAGCGCCAGCCGCCGGCACCAGGCACCAGCAACAGCGCCAGCCGCCAGCACCAGGTACCAGCACCAGCGCCGTCACGCCAGCACCAGGCACCAGCACCAGCGCCAGCCGCCGGCACCAGGCACCAGCACCAGCGGCAGCCGCCAGCACCAGGCACCCAGCACCAGCGCCAGCCGCCAGCACCAGCACCAGAGCCAGCTGCCAGCACAAGGCACCAGCACTAGGGCCAGCCGCCAGCACCAGCACCAGCACCAGCACCGAAACCAGTCACCAGCTCCAGCACCGGCACGCGCCGTCACCGCCAGCAGAGACCGCGCCAGCAGCTTCACCGCCAGCAGAGACCCCGCCAGCAGCTACACCGCCAGCAGAGACCCTGCCAGCAGCTACACTGCCAGCAAAGACCCCGCCAGCAACATCGTACGCCGCCCCCCCCTCCCTTCAGCGGCTTCCACAGTGGGGGGTGGGGGGGGGAGATGAGGGGGTGGCGGGAGTGACCAGCAATTCGTCACGCACTGCCTCTCTTCCTTTCTCTCTCCCTGCAGGGCTTGTCGCTGTGGGGAAGGGGGGGGAGAGAGGTTGAGGGGGTGGTAGAAGCAAGTCGGGCATCTGCAGCCACTGCCTGTAGCAGGCACGCCCTCGGAGGTGCTGAGCTGCGCTGTCCTGCTGCTCGTTGCAGCTGCGGCGCATGCTCTCACGCCCACCTGCCGGGTCCTGCACCTGTCGCTGCTGCATCTGCCGTGGCTGAGGTCACTGTAGCTCCATCTGCCATCACTGCAACTGCTGCCTGTTGCAGGCACGCCCCCGGAGGTGCTGAGCCGCGCTGTCCTGCTGCTCGTTGCAGCCAAGGCGCCTGCTCTCACACCCACCTTTTGGGTCATGCACCTGCCATTGTTGCATTTATCATGACTGTTATGTGTTGCTGTTTCCCCTGCTTCTTCTACCCCTCCGTGGCTTCACAAGCTCATACCGTAAGCAGGTTAAGGGGGTGTGACTTACTCTAGCTGTGTGCTGCAGGCAGTTAAGGGGGTGTGTCGCGATATATATTTTATACATATTAATAACTGCCTGTAGCTTTACCTTTAGTGAAGTTATGTTTCCTTGCTATTGGTGGTGCACCTCTTGTTTGTGTTTCTCGACTATATCTTATATGCTTTGCTCTTAGTGAAGCCCACTTGCTTGGTCAATTTCTCTCGACCCTTGCTCTCGCCACCCTCGATACCCGCTTGGCCTAGGCTACTAAGCATAGGCCCTCCTTAAATCCCGTTACCAGCTAAGTTAGTCTCGTAACACATTCGCCATCACCATGGCGGCGGCGGGGTCGTTCGCTTTCTCCCCGGCTCGTCGCCTGCTCCTCTCGCTCGTCCTGCTCTTCGTCTCCGGCGCGCTTCGACCGGCCGAATCGGAGTGGATCGGGGAATCTGGGCGGTCCGAGGAAGCGCGTGTCCCTCACACGCCCCTCTTACGCAGACAGCAGCAGCAGCGGACCGCCACCACCGCCGTTCGCAGGCGTCCCGGGCGGCGACGCGATCGTTTCAGCCATCGGCTTTCCGCTCGTCCGCTCCGTCGCCATTGATGGCTTCTCCGCATCTGACGGCTTCTCTGCATCTGACGGCGCCTCGCACGGCACCTCCCATGCCATCGCCACCACAACCGCCATCACCCCGGCCGCGGGCGCGACGAACAAGTACCACGGCGGGCCGGTGGTGGTGGGCAATCCAACGATCAATATTTACCACATCTACCATGGCAGCTGGGGGGCGGGGTCGGGAAGGGAGATCATTGACGCATTCGTGCAGTCGCTGAGCAAGGACTCGGGCAGTAAGGGCGGCGCGGGGGACGCGAGTGTGAAGGGGTGGTGGTGGGCCATCACGGCCGCGTACTACCAGTCTGGCGCCGATGGGAAGAAGAATGTTAGCTCCAAGGTGAGAGAGGGAGGTCGCTTTTGAGAATTCTAACAAAAAGGGCAGCCAGGGCATCGCTGGGGAAGGCGTGGTGAGAATTCAATAAGGAGCTAGCCTAGCCACGCTTGCATGACGTTGCTCTATCTGCTCCTTGTGCTCTTCATTTGCGTCCCTTGTTCATTCATTCCCTCTTGCACGCCCTCATCCGTTCACTCCATCTTGCTGCCATCTGCTCCTGGCGCAGGTTCGTCTCGCTGGGACTGTGATCGACAACTATTCACGCGGCAAGAACCCGTCAAAAACGACGTGCACGCCAGTATGTACCGCTCCTCACCACTCTCAACTCAGCCACTCTAAGTGTTTCCTCTGCTTGTTCCAAGTGCACCTTCCATGCTCACCTTCTCCTGCGTTGATTCATCGTCTCCTGCTTGATATCACCTCTACCCTTCACCCGCCCACACGCTCCAGTACCTGCACGCTCGCTGTCTCACCCTCCTCTCCGCCCTCCCCTCCCCGGGCCTCCGCCTGCCTCTCCGCCGCCCGTGCAATTGTGAACAGCTTTGTGGGGCCTGGCAAGCCCTTCTCGCTGGATCCTCACAGCATCTACGTTCTACTTACGAGCGCCGACGTTAAGTTTGGGGACTTCTATAAGAAGTACTGCGCCTGGCACACCTAGGACTCAATCAACTCCACCCCTCTGCGCTTCGCCTTTGTGGGGCACCACATTCAGTACCCCAGCGGGGTAAGGGGCACGTCGCCCAATGAAAACCCTGGCATTGATGCCACTATCACCTCGCTTGCGCATGAGATCACCGAAATTGCCACGGATCCGGATGTAAGTACCGGGTGGTTCGTTGATGGGGGCGGGGAGAACGCTCACAATTGCGCGTAGAATTTCGGCAGCACCAAGATGGAATCCCTGCAGAACGGCAAGAGCTATGAGTACAATCTGGTGGGGCTGAATGGGAGGAAGTTCCTGGTGCAGCAAAACTGGGACCGTGTGCAGAACAAGTGCGTCCTGCAAAAACCCTGCCCTCTCCCTCTCCCCTCCTCCTCCCCCTTCTCCACCTCCCCCACCTCCTTCGAGTGGAGGCAGCGTGAAGATGAAGTGTGATTGCAACTGTGCTAGCGCCAGCAACCCCATGAGCTGCCAGTGCTCCTGCACCAAGACAGGGTGATGTGCGGATAAAGAGGAGTCACCTGTGTCTTGTGGGGTGGATGCTGTACCAGGCACATCAGATGATCAGATACATTGGCATGGCTGCAATTTATATTGCCCCCAGTGACACATGTAGATTGCTGCTGAAGTATTTATTACTGAACTACTGGTAGTCGCCCCTTTCCCACAGGTTTGCAGTTTCCCTTGTTTTATGTAATAATATGTATTCTCACATGTAGTGGGTTGTTGTGGTGTTAAACAACAGTGTCTGGAACGGCAAGCACATTCGCCTGGATAGTGAGACCAGGACAATGATATGGGGGATACCGCGCTGCTGGTGATTATAGACCCCCCTCCCTGTATGCAGGAATGTGCGTGCGCGTTTCTCCCGCCATTTGGGATCTCTAGGCGATAATGCTTCTGCTCACTGAATATGATTATCTTCACGAGACATCATTAGGTGGTGGGTACAACCCGATCTACTCTACCCAAGATGTTATCATTTACGAAGTATCAACTATGGGGATCGAGGTGGAATCGGCTAGAGAGGGTGTATTCGGGATTTCAAACGGCGCGTATAGCGCGTCTTTCATGACTTTTTGTAAGAATCTCGATGATCCCGAGATTCACAGCGCAGGCAGCAACACTCATGCCATGCCACCACCACCACATCACTTGCGCAGTGCGGCTCGGGCCAGTTCAGAAAAGCAAGAACTGGGGTTATTATACAAATGGTCAATATACATGACGCGCTATCACAAATGGTCAAGCGGTTATCACGAACGGTCACAGAATCTAGAATTCTATCACGGATGGTCACAGAATCTAGGATTCTATCACGGATAGTCATAGGAGAACCACGCTTGGTCACACAGTGCCCCACGAAGTTATCACGTATCGTCACAAGACGAAACATATGTTTTTCTGTTGCGAGTTATGGAACTTTTAACTCCCGGTTGATTTTGTCCTATTTGTGCAGCATATTTAAATTCGTAGCGAGTCGTGTCAGATTTATATGACTTAGCTGCTGTAGGCTATAGTGGGGTAGCACATATGGGGTACAGCTTTCTAGGGTTTGTACTTGTACCCAACTTTCCCTTAGTCTTTTCATTCCTCGTTCATTTTCACATGGTATAGAGCAGGTTCCCCTGTGGGAACTGTTCCTAGGGCCCACCAACTTTTTTTTCCTGCCCGGAGCGCGCTCAGCCTCTGCCCGAGTCGCGCTCCCCTCTCACGGCCCCGTCGCGCCGCCCTTACGACCCCGTCGCGCCGCCTCAGCGGCCCCGTCGCGTCGCGCCTCCCTAGCGGCCCCGTCGCGTCGCCCTTGCGACCCCGTCGCGCCGCCCTCGCGGTCCCGTCGTGTCGCGCCGCCCTCGCGGCCCTTTCGCGCCGCCCTCGCGGCCCTTTCGCGCCGCCCTCGCGGCCTCCTTGAGCCGCCCTCGCGACCCCTCCACGCCGCCCTCGCGGCCCCCGTCGCCTACCCTTGCGGCCCCGGCGCCACCCTTCCCGGCCCCGGCGCCGCCCTTCCCGGCCCCGGCGCCCGCCCTTCCCGGCCCCGGCGCCGCCTCTGCTGGCCCCGTTGCCCCACCCTTGCGACCCCGCGGCCCCACCCTTAAGGCGCCGGTCGCCACCCTTCGTGGCCCCGCCGCCGCCCTCAGCGGCCTCGTCGCCGCCCCACCCGGCCCCGCCGCCGTCCCCACGCGGCCCCGCCGTCACCACCGAGCCGCCGGCGCCGCTGAGCCGCCGATCTACCGAGCCGCCGCTGCTGCCGAGCCGCCCGAGCCACCCGAGCCGCCCGAGCCGCCGAGCCACCTGAGCCCGCCCGAGCCGCCGAGTCGCCGAGCCGCCGAGCTCCAGTTGCTGCCGAGCCGCCCGAGCCGCCGAGTCGCCGAGCCGCCGAGCTGCAGTTGCTGCCGAGCCGCCGAGCTGCCGAGCCGCCCGAGCCACCCTGTCCGGTAAGAGCGGCACCTCTACCACTGCGCTGCCCTTACCCTACTGCTCCAGCTGCTAGTCTACTGCTGTCATGGCTACCCCCAGTGTCCTCGCTTTTGACGCTGAGGGTCGGGCCATTGACTTTGACGTCTGGGTAGATGACCTGCAGCTTTTCCTACAGTGCGACAGGGCAGACGGTCCTCTCTCTCTTTGACCTCACTTCTGGTGCCTCTTCTGCCCCTGCTGCTGATGCTGATGCCACTGTTCGCTCACAGTGGGCCACATACGCGACGCTGCTGCCCGTCTTGCTGTGCGCCGCCACTTGCCTACCGCTGAGCGTGCACACTTTAGTCAGTACAAGAGTGCTAAGACCTTGTACGACGCCGTAGTTGCACGCTACTCTTCCCCTGCCACTGCTGCACTTAGCCGCCTCATCCTGCCGTACCTCTTCCCTGACCTCGCCGCTTTTCCCACAGTCGCTGACCTCATTACGCACCTGCGCACTAGTGACACTCGCTACCGCGCTGCCCTTCCTCCTGAGTTCTGCGCCAAGAACCCCCCCCTATGTACATCACCCTCTACTACGTAGTCACCCGGCTCCCTGACACCCCTTCGCCCGGTCAGGGACCACTTTCTCTCTGTTTGCCCCACCACCCTCACCGTTGACCTCCTCGAGGAGCGCCTCCTAGCAGCAGAGAAGAGCATAGTTGCTGTAGAAGCCTCTCGTGGTGACCCTCGTGCCCCTGTCTTTGAGGGGTGCTCCCCCTCTCCTCTCTTGCCCTCTGTTGCCTCTGCTGCTGCGGCCGACCTCGTTGGTCTTGAGTCGGTCGGTGCGGCGTCTGCCCCTAGCGGGAGACGCCGCACTGGCAAGGGCAAGGGGGGCAGGGGCGCTGGAGGAGCTAGCGGGGGCGGTGGAGGCGGCGGTGGAGGCGGCGGAGGGGGTGGGGGTGGCGGTGGGGGTGGTGGCGGGGGTGGGGGCGTCGGTGGCGGCAGTGGAGGCGGAGGCGGCGGCGGCGGTGGCGGTGGGAGCGGAGGTGGCGGAGGTGGCGGCGGTGGAGGAGGCGGCGGCGGAGGAGGTGGAGCTGGTCGGGGTGGCGCTGCGCAGAGGGTCGGCTCCGGTGGTGGTCAGCGCCAGCAGCAGCAGCAAGCCAGCAGCGCACTCGTGAGATCCCCCCCCCTCAGCAGCTTCGTGAGTGGTACGCTGCACGCCAGCGGGGTGGGGGTACTGGTCCGTGCACCTACGTCCTACGCACCGGCGACCGCGCGGGTGAGCCGTGCGGAGGTGCGCACGTGTCCAACCAGCGCTGCTTTGGCCGCCTGACGGACGCTTGCGTCACCAGTTCCCTGAGGCCACTGAGATCCCTCGCTGGGGCGAGTTGTCTAGGGCGGGAGTAGCTATCTTTGACCTTGACTTTGATGCTATTCTTGCTGCCATGTACTGCTGTGACTATTAGTGATGAGGGTGACTGTTACTGGTGTTTTTCCGCCCGACACGGGCATTGGGACTGCTGCTCTAGGTACTGGTGAGGCTGTTGCTCTAGGTGCTAGCGAGGCTGCTGCTCTAGGTGCCAGTGCGTCTGCTTCCTCAGGTGCTGGTGAGTCTGCTCTCTCAGGTACTGCGTTGGCTCCGGCCTCCAACACCTTCACTCTTGAATCGGAGGGCTTCTCGCTCTTCTTTCGAGACCGCACCACACTCACGCCGCTTGGTCGGCAGTTGCAGTCTCTCTGGCAGACCCCTCTGGGGTCCTGTCCTTGCTCATCTTCTCCACTGTCCTCCCGTGTCCGGCCGGCCCCCTCTGGCACCCTGTCTGGTCTTTACCTCCCCTCGTCTCTACGAACTTGGTGAGTGGTGCTGACCTACAGGATGCGGGGGTTCACCAGTTCACTCCTGCGAGCCAGCGTGTGACCCACTGCACGGACGCTCGGACGGGCCGACACTTGGCCACGTTTACACGTCGGCCGGGGTCGAGCCTGTACACACTGACCACTGAGTCTCCTCCAGTCACTGCGTTTCTGGTCAGGCAGCTGCGTCGGGTCAGGTGTTTGGCTGCAGCGTCCAGAGTCTGGTCCTGAGTCTGCCCCCTGCTCGTGTCGCCTCCTGTCTCACGAGACTCTCCTCTGGCACCACCGCCTTGGTCCCCCCTGCCCTGCCTCGTCTCCGAGGCATGGCCTCCCGTGTCCTTGTCTCTGGTCTTCCCCGCTCCCTCCCTCCCCTTCCTCCGGGGCCTGCCCCTACCTGCGTCCCCTGTGTCGAGGGCGGCAGCGTGCTGCCCCTCACTCCTCCCAGTTTCCTCCGACAGAGGCCCCGCTGCAGACGCTTCACATGGACGTGTGGGCCCGGCCCGCGTCCAGTGGACAGGGTCACGAGCGCTACTTCCTGCTGGTGGTTGACGACTACTCGCGTTCACCACAGTCTTCCCCTTGCGCAGCAAGGGTGATGTCACTGAGGTGTTGATCGACTGGATCCGCGCAGCTCGTCTCCAGCTCAGAGAGAGTTTCGGCTCGGACTTTCCTGTTCTGCGTCTGCACTCTGACAGAGGCGGAGAGTTCTCCTCTGGGCCTTCTGCGAGCCTACTGTCGTGCACGAGGCATCCGCCAGACCTTCAACGCTTCCGGGACTCTCCACAGCAAAATGGGATTGCTGAGCGCCGCATTGGCATGGTCATGGACGTCGCCCGTACGTCCATGATGCATGCGGCTGCCCCCATTTTCTGTGGCCGTTTGCGGTTCGGTACGCGGCGCATCAGATCAACCTTCAGCCCAGGGTCTCCATGCCGGAGACCTCCCAGCTTTGCTGGTGGACGGGGAAGGTTGGCGATGCGTCTGCGTTCCGTGTCTGGGGGATCTCGGGCGTTTGTCCGCGACTTGTCTGCGGACAAGCTTGTCCCCTCGTGCTTGCTCCCTGCGTCTTCCTGGCTTCCCCCCTGACGCGCCAGGGTGGCAGTTCTACCACCCCACCTCTCGCCGTGTCTTGTCCTCCCAGGACGTCACGTTTGACGAGTCAGTCCCCTACTACCGTCTCTTCCCCTACCGCACTCCGTCCCTCCCCCCGCCTCCGCTCTTCCTTGTGCCAGGTCCCCCCCCGGTAGACCCCCTCCCCTCAGGGTCCTGCCCCTTCAGGTGGTGTCCCAGGTAGACGCAGTCGAGCCTGTGGAGGTCGCTGTGACTCTGGTGCTGCTGGGGGTGCTGAGCCTGGGGGTGCTGACTCTGGGGGTGCTGAGCGTGTGGGTGCTACGCCTGGGGGTGCTGAGCCTGGGGGTGCTGAGCCTGAGGGTGCTACGACTGGGGGTGCTGAGCCTGGGGGTGCTGAGTCTGGGGGTGCTGAGCCTGGGGTGCTACGACTGGGGGTGCTGAGCCTGGGGGGTGCTACGCCTGGAGGTGCTGAGCCTGGGGGTGCGGAGCCTGAGGGAGCTGGGCCTGCTCGTGTGGCGTCTGGCGGTGCTGGGCCTGGAGGTTCTCTGGGTGCTCCGTCTCGACGGGAGCCACTCTCTCCACAGGAGGTGCGTGAGTGGTTTGCCCGGCGCTGGAGGCTGCTGCTGGAGCTGGAGGTTCTTCGGCTGCTGAGGGTGCTGGTGCCACGGGTCCCGGAGGTGCTCGTACTGGGATTACTGGAGCTGCTGGGCCTGCGGGTACTACTGGAGCTGGAGCTGCTGAGGGTGTTGGCGCTGAGGGTACTGGCTGGCGGTACTGGAGGCGGTCCTGCTGGGGGTCTACTGGTGCTGCTGGGGGTACTGGAGCTGGAGGTGCTGCTGGCGCTGGTGCTACCACTGGGGGTACTGGTGCTGTCCCTGCTGTGTCTGGAGTCGCTGCGTGGCCTCGGCCGTACTTCGTTCCGCTTCTTGAGCAGGTTCTTGGTCCTCCCGCCTTCTACTGTCCTCCTCCTCCCTTAGAGTGTCCACAGCCTGTCCCGTCACAGTTACAGTTACAGCCGGCCTCCCCACTGCCTGCTCCTTCTCCCTACACTGGTCCTACTGGAGGTCTTGCTGAGCGTCGTGAGCCTGCGTCTCGTCCTGCGTCGCCTGTCCGTGCTGCTCGCGCTAGTGGTCGTGGTTCGCGTCAGCGTCCTCCCCCTGTGCCCGGCACGCACCGGATGTCTCTCTCCGTCCGTCCACTGCTCCTCTGCGTGCCCCTTTGCCTTCTCCTCCTGAGTCCTCTCTTTCCTGCTCTTGCTGACCCGGAGTCGGACTCCCTTCGTGCTGCCAGTCCGACTGTCACGCGTCTCCTTGCTACTGTTGTCACTAACCTTCCTTTGAGTCCACTGCTGCGTCTGCCCTAGTTGCTGAGCTCGTCGACTTTGCTGCTCGCTGTCGTCTAGACTACGCTGCTAGTCTTGTTGCTGCGTCTGAGTCTGTCTGTCCTCCGTCCGTCGGGGGTGAGTGTGCCCTTGGCACGGACGTCCTTGAGGACAGACAGGAGGAGTTCCAGTGTTTGGCTGCTGCTTCACCTCATCTCGTGTCCGTACTGCTTACCCCTGAGGGAGACCCGGATGCACTTGACATCCCGACTCCGCGCTCTTACGCGGAGGCGATAGAGGGTCCCTACTCCTCTCAGTGGCAGGCAGCTATGGACGCAGAGATGGCTTCCTGGAAGTCCACAGGCACCTACGTTGACGAGGTTCCCCCGCCTGGGGCGAACATCGTCAGTGGCATGTGGATTTTCAGGGTGAAGCGGCCGCCGGGTTCTCCGCCTGTCTTCAAGGCGCGTTACGTGGCTCGTGGCTTCAGTCAGCGGCAGGGAGTTGACTACTTTCAGACCTTCTCTCCCACCCCGAAGATGACCACTCTTCGGGTACTGCTGCACATAGCTGCTCACCGTGACTACGAGCTACACTCTCTTGACTTCAGCACTGCTTTCTTGCAGGGCAGCCTGCACGAGGAGATCTGGCTGCGCCGCCCACTTGGCTTCACTGGGACTTTTCCTCCTGGCACCCAGTGGAGCCTCCGGCGGCCAGTCTATGTCTCCGCCAGGCACCGCGTGAGTGGCACGACACACTGAGGACTACGCTTGCGGCTCTTGGGTTTGCTCCCTCTACTGCCGACCCGTCGCTGTTTCTGCGCACCGACACTTCTTTGCCGCCGTTCTACATCCTCGTGTACGTCGACGACTTGGTCTTTGCCACAGCTGACACTGCTGGACTCGCCCACGTGAAGTCCGAGCTGCAGAAGAGACACACGTGCACAGACCTGGGTGAACTGCGCAGCTACCTTGGCTTGCAGATCACCCGGGACAGAGCACGCCGCACCATTACCCTGACTCAGTCACACATGGTGCAGCAGGTCCTTCAGCGCTTCGGCTTCACGTACTCCTCGCCTCAGGCCACTCCTCTGCCTACTCGCCACTCGCTCTCAGCTCTGCCTTCGGATGAGTCCGTAGAGTCGAGTGGCCCGTACCCAGAGCTTGTTGGCTGCCTCATGTACCTGATGACCTGCACTCGACCTGACCTTGCATACCCTCTTAGCATTCTCGCACGCTATGTTGCTCCTGGGAGACACAGACCGGAGCACATGGCTGCAGCGAAGAGGGTGTTGCGCTACTTGTGCAGTACGTCGGGCATGGGGCTTGTGCTTGGAGGGCAGAGTCCAGTGGTCCTCACTGGGCACGCAGACGCTTCTTGGGCTGACGACCAGGCTACGCAGCGGTCGTCACAGGGTTACACCTTCAGCCTTGGTTCCGGCTCTGTCTCGTGGCGGGCTACCCGCTCGTCTTCTGTTCTCGGCTCCAGTTGTGAGGCTGAGATCTACACAGGGGCCATGGCTGCACAGGAGCTTCGCTGGCTCACCTACCTGCTGACTGACCTCGGAGAGCCGCCTCGTTCTCCTCCAGTGCTGTACGTAGACAACAAGGCCATGCTGGCCTTGTGTCGGGAGCAGAGACTGGAGCACAGAACGAAGCACATTGCTCTTCGCTACTTCCTTGCTCGTGAGCTACAGCAGCGTGGTCAGCTACGCCTTGCGTACGTGGCCTCTCAGGCCAACACTGCTGATATCTTCACCAAGGCACTTGCGCCTTGTGATCATCAGCGCTTCTGTACTCAGCTGGGTCTTGTGCCTACCTTGCCTCACTTGCTCACCCCTTGACCTTGTTTGTACTGTTAATATATATATACACCTGCTCTTGCTTGTTTAGCCTTATATATATATGTAATCCTGCATGTGAACTGGCCTTGTGGCCTTGAACTTGTGCTCGGAATGTGTGGTGACGTTGTGATCCACCCTGAGCTTGCTTTGCTTTGCTTGACTGGTCTTGTGACCCCTTGTCCTCCCCCACTTTGCCTATGGGGGTGTGTCAGATTTATATGACTTAGCTGCTGTAGGCTATAGTGGGGTAGCACATATGGGGTACAGCTTCTAGGGTTTGTACTTGTACCCAACTTTCCTTAGTCTTTTCATTCCTCGTTCATTTTCACAAGTCGCACAAACGAATCGAGATGTACAAACAACCTCAATATAACAAATGTTCATGCTATCTAAATACAAGAACTTGAAAAATAAAAACATATGATTAAAACCCGCTCAGATGGCATGCCGTCGAGGGAGCATCAACCCTAAACACCGTGCGACAAGGCGTTCAGGGTTATAGCGAAATCAACTTGTATGAATGCTTTCTCTCTATATGCATTTTTTTATTGCGAACGGTCATCATTATGCTAAAAACCCATTTTACATTTAATCTAGATTTATAAGGATTTGACTCGCGACTCGCTACGGAAGTAACTATGCAGCTGTAATAAGACAAATATTTATTTGTTTTAACCGATTGCGAAAGTGGTCGCGGGCCTTTTTCGTAAGTATCGTTTGTTTCGCGCGTGATATAACTTTACATGAATCTCTACTAGTTTCAACTTTCCATTGAGCGTTTCATTGTGTGGGCATACGTGATAGAATCATGGGGCAACATGTGACTATCCGTGATAGCCGTGTGACCATCCGTGATAACGAGCCCATGTTTGTGACTTTTCGTATAATTTCCCTGGTGGAAACAATGTTCCCCCTTCCCCATTGTCTCAGCGCCCCCCCAGATGTCCTTGTCGCGATGGACCCCAGCCCAGCCCACTCTCGACGGCCCGGGGCCGGGGGGTCCTCTCCTCGCCTCGCCCAAGCCCCGCCGCTGGGCCCGAAAGGAGTCGGCGACTGTAACCCCAGGCACGCGAGGCCGGACGGGTGGGTACTGTACTCACCCTCGCCGACCCACGGCCGTACTTCTCGCTGCAAAAATTGGGCGCTCCTTTCCACCCCTGCACAGGTTTAGGAAGCACCCTGACCTGACGCAGTAGCGGGGACCACGCCCAACTCCCACACTCCCTCTCCCACGACTGAGGCCTTGTTTGCAAGCACAAACAAACATACGAGAAGTACGGTACAGTTCTTGGGGAAATTATACTAGTCACAAACATGGGCACGATTTCTCCAAGAACAATGCTGCAAGATACCCTAGTCACATTCCCCGTGCAATGGTGAGCGCGAACGCATGAAAAACCCCGGTTTGGGCATGGATTGTGGCGT